TCAAAAATAACTTTTCGCCTTGTCCATCAGACTTATGTGGAGGGTCAGGTCGAAAGTAAGTCACACTATATATAAATCTTTACGTTGTCAGTTAGTAGATAGATATTAGAGTGTATGTATCTTTGCTTGTATTCAATTTTTTTCACCCACGAGAGGACCACTTGTGTATGCTATTAGGTCTCACATGTGGTCTCAATAAGGTAGAATCCATAGGCACTCAAGAAGAATAAAAAGTCAAAACTATATCTGAACAGAATTATACGCTCATATGGGATGTGGAATCATTGCTGGAAAATAACAACAAAGGAGTGCCTTAATTGTGCTAATTGATTGAGAGTAATTAAGAGTTAGGTGCAACTTTTTATGCTCTATTACCTCAATTGAGAAATTCAATTAAATGATTCTTCTTGGTTTGGCAATTTTTGCTCATACATGCATTTGTAATATTTTATTTGAAGTTAGTTTGAAATTAAATAAGTTAAATTTGGACAGGTTTCTGGGTTGGACAAAACTTAGATAAAATATCATAGGTGCTAGTGGTACAAGTGACCTATTAGAGGATGACATATGTACATTTTTTGATACTTTCAAGGAAAGAACATTATTAGATTTACAATCAAGCATTTTTTGACCGTAACAAAAAATGTACACGTGTCATCCTCTAATAGATAACTTGTACCACTAGCATCTATAGTACTTTACCTAAGTTTTGTCATTCTGGTTTTGCTATACGAAATTGAAGCTGAAGAATCATTGGTGCTTGTAAGTTTGGTCATATCATGTAGTTACAAAGTCATCATGCTTAGTGATTAAGGACAATTGTTGTCTCTATCCACTTACTCCAACTGAGAAAAACCTACTTCACATAATTCATTCTTAGAAAATTCAATAGTTTGAATTAATGAGTAGATCTAAATCATTGAATTTTCTAAAAAAAATGAATGGTTATGATGTGAAATATGTTTTTGTCACTTAATCGAGTAAGTGAATCCCTACCAGAAGTAAAACTAAGAATGCAACCTTTTTGACTTTCTTCTTGCTAAGCTAAGACAAAAATGTGAATAGTTTGATGGTCTATATTTGCTCCAAGCCATTTTGCTTTCTTAATTTACACAATTAATTTACTCAATTGGAACAATTTTCAGTGCTGAAATAAGATTAGTGGAGCATGTGTGAGTGGCCCATTTGTAGAAAAATCATCATCTTAGCGTTACTGTTTGGAGAATAAGATTTCACCCTGTATATACTTTCTTTTTAAGGCTCAAGATAAGGTTAAATGAATGTTATTTTCCATCTAGCAGAACTACACTCTAAATCTGTCACGTATGCAGAGATACCAAACTTCATGTCTAGTGCTGTAGTGCACCTTTGACATTGTGGGAATTAGGTTTAGAAGAACTGTGTTAGGGAAATTTAAATAATCTTTATTCCATAAAACTAGCTTCTTGCCGTAAGATTATTGCTGTTAAAAGTGCTGAAAATGGTGAGATTGTAGGTCAAAGTTAAAAGTTGTGTATCAACATGGTCAAATGGTCAGTAGTGTAAAGATCAAAGACTAAGATTCCATCCTAACATCCATGTTAACGACATTTTTTAGAAAAACAATCGAACAACTCAAAGTATTTCTTATTTAGATAAGGTGAGGATGTTAGTATTCAATTTGTTATTGTTTTTTTGTTAGTATTCAATTTGTTATTTTTTTTTTGTTCAATGATATAAAGAAAATGCAGCATTAGAGAGTGGGGCTCCTCACAAGTAACATAGAGGAGTTCTTTTTTCCTTTTGTTTTTAAGGATAAAACTGTAATTTCAATTTAACTAACAATAATACAAGTGTTATTTCATTTAATGTTTTCTTTGTTTTTTCACACAACTTTACTCTCTATTAACGGAGAAAAATCTCACATATTATTAGAATAATTCTTGCCGGCTCTTAACACTAGTTTGTAGTTTTTGATGGACTAGCTTTTAAAAGCAACAACTTACATTTATTATCTGTTCACCAACTAACTTTATTTTTAACTTAGTCAGTTGAATATAATCTATCTTGAAAAGCTAGTAGCTAGAACTTTGAGAAAGATACCATGACTCTCTTTTTTATTAAATAATATTTACACATTAAAAAATTATTTTTGTTTTTTTATATTTCTTGATTCGGGATGGTTCAATAAAATCCCCCACTTTAACTACTTCATAAGTCAAACTACCAAGTGCAAGCAATATAGTTAGCTTAAACTGACGAGTGTATATTTTAGAGCAGGGATCTCATCATTTGTCTTCAACTTTGAGTCACTCTTTATATCAAAGTGTAGTACAAAATTGCAATTCAATAAAAAAAACAATGAATATTCATGTGTCAATCAATTTGATTCCTGAAAAATAAAAATCTAAATTAGTATTCAATAATTACGAATATAAATTAAAATAGTTTATATCAACTGTCACAAAACATGTTATAAATGACTAATTTGACTCACATTTAATATTTTTTTGGGTCATTTTAAGATTTTCAAGTTTTAAGAGACAAAAGTAATTTTTAAGTGCACATAAGAAATTTTGAGGGAACAAAATAAGTATTTACTCTAAAAAAAATTGTGTAATATTATATCCTAATAACAAACCAGCCAATAGAAAATCATTATAACCATTCAAAAAGTGATATGTTTCACTTAAACTAACATATGTCAGCTCACATGTTATTTCTTTCTTATGGTTAGATTAATTTAAGCTAATTTATCATCAGAATATATTTTCATTATTTTGTCAATAATCAACTAGTACGGTAAGTGTCACAAAGTACGTGAAAATTAATCTTTTCGGTATTTAGGAGCTAAGAACACTGAAATTGGAGTGAATTGAATTTTACAGAATCTTATGGAACTATTAGCAAAGATTGCATGTTTGGAGAGTCAAAACATGTAATTACGCAAAAATTGTTTGGCGACAGAATTGCTGTATAGAATTTCCATGGACCCATTAATTAACGATTGGTACGTTTAAACTAAAAATGAGTTCATATGTGCTAAATAGGAGAATTATTTAATACTTCTTCTTAAAGGTTCCATAACTGAAACGAAGAGATAATAAGTTGCATTACATAATCAGAAATGGAATGATACGCATAATAATCCCACAAAATACAACTTAATGGTATTTAGTGATTATAAAATGCCGTAGTATTTTCGGCTACAAACATAAGTTCTTGTTGACCTAGGAATTAGGATCCTCTCAATTAATTGGTATGCAAGTACATTTTGTTCTTTTGTTTTTAATGACAAAAAATATAGTTTCATTGTAATCAAAATAATATATGTTTAAAAAGATTGCATTTCCTTTTGGTTTTTAAAGTATTTGTCTCTCCATTAAAAGAGAGAATCTTAACTCTTGACCTAGCGTTGTTCCATGGTCATGAGTAGGGTTGTCAATATGAATCGAACCAACTCAATATTCGTTCAAAATTCGACTCATTATTTAATTCAACAAACTTGATTCATGAACCAAATTAGTCGAACTTGAATTGGAAACCTGAGCCTGAAAAGCTCGATAACCAAGAAGATTAGGATTGAAAAAAAATGGGGTGGTGTTACTTTCGAAGGCTTGAGATGGAGAGTGAGTTAGGAGAGAACATAAGAGATTCTTATTTTTAATTTTTAGAATAGCAACTTACCAAAATATTCTCATTATTACTACTCATTTCAACACAACAGTAGGAGTATTTTTGTTTAACTTTTATGGTATACAATGCTAACATGTACCTAACTGAAAATAAGGTTAAATATGTTAGCAAACCCCTATATTTATATATACAACCTTGTGCAACATTTTTTAAGATGAATTAATTATTTGAGTTGCCCAAATGAACCATTCGAGATGAACCGAAAATTTGCGAATTTTAACCAAGACGAACTCACGCTAAAAAATAACTCGTATCGAACTCGAGTCGAGTTTCGGGTAGATCATCAAATCTTTATCGAGCTTAACTGAGTTGAGCTTTGATTCGACTCCATTCGGCTCGTTTCCAACCCTAGTCATAAGATTCGTTCATGTGGGGCAAGGAACATACAAAAACAGTGAAATTGTTGTAATAAGGGATAAAAAAGTTGTCCATTTTTTATACTACTAAGTATATCTCTTCATCTTATGGATGAGACACTAAGGATATATGATTGTCTTTCCTTTAAGAAACAAAAATCTAATTCAAATAAGACTATTTATCCTTGGTTGGATTTATGATATTTGCTAACTTTCCATAAGGGATTTATTTTTTATATTTGTGTAAACAATGTCCCCTAAGGAAATGCATATCACCCGACATATGGATGCCTGAAATATTTTTGCATATATAACTAATTTTATATCTATATCATAAATATTTTATTGCTTTTATTTTGTCTAAAAATTTATTATTTGTTAATTATTATTACTTAATGGATAAATCCTTTCAACATTTTGTTGATAGTAATGATCATTGTTTTATATTAACATATAGTTTGTGTATAATTGAAACAAGAGTTTGACGTGAAGTGAGAAAAATATGTGACAATTTAATGCTCGTTAAGAAGATATTTACATTAAATATATTTACTCAAGTCCTCAATAAATATTAATAATTGAGTTAGAAAAGAAAATATATCTTACGTCCTCACGATTTATACACTACAAGAAATGTTGTATTTTGTGGAGGTTATTCAAACATTCACAAATAAATTAAATAAGGTAAGCTGAACAATTAATTAAACATATAATAGATGTTTTTATTTAATTTGTGGAGGTTTTCAACCTCCACTATCAATTTGAAAAAAAACTATCACTTTAATTCCACAAAAAAAACATACTAACTTCCCCCAAAATAAACTCACTTCTAAATATCTTTCATCTCCAAATTCAAACCCCAGGCCTTTGTGAACGTTTCCAAATAAAAACATAATACTTATAAACCTTTCTTCATTCCCTTCATTCCTGGTTGAAAACATGTCTTCATTTTCTTTATGGCTCGTGAGTTAGCATATTCATTTCTAAATATGTTTTAGGTTTTCGGTGGTTCTTCATTTTCTTCATCGTTTCTTCATCGCTTCTTCATTGCTTCCAACTGAATTTGATTCATCGCTGGTTCATCGTTTATTCGGTATGATTCAACCTTTCTCTTCTCTTTGGTAACCATTTCTTTTGCACTTTGTAATTTATTTATGTGTTTGAATTTATTTTTATGTGTTGCAAGTTTTTTCATAATGAACTTTAGATGAGTGGATTATCACATCTCTCTCAATCTCTGAATCTTGCTAAAGTGGGAGGATGATTTCATTCTCTATCCATATGCTGGATTAGAGAATGAATTTGCTACTTATTCTACTTTGCATTTAATTTGCTACTTTTATATGCTGGATAGTATTTAGGAATTATTGCTTCTTGTAAGGATAATGCTCAATTTTGTAGTGTGTTAATTTGATTGATGATGTCTGTTTGCTTCTTCTATTCACTTTTCTTATCTCTAGAAATCTTTCCATAACCATGGTGAAAACCGATTACAAATGGTGGCAAAGAACAAAGCAAGGAAAAGTTGAACTTTATGATAACATATGTTGAAAAAGAAGATGGTTCAAGCTTGAAGGTATAGCTGCACACCAAGTGTTTGATAAAATTTGAGTAAATAATTTTGGTGAAGTAAATTGATTCTTATTTATAATTCTAATTTATGATTCTTATTGATGAAAATTACTTGGTGATATCTTTATTTCTTTTTTTTTTTGTAGATAGAAATAGTATGTGTGAGGGACCTACCCTCTGTATAATGCAAATGAGTTATAGTACTTTTGTCTCAATTTTCACTATCACCTAAGATCAATGTGATCAGATCCAATGGCAGCAGTCAAAAGCAGTTCTAAATTCTTAGCTTTCTTGATTCTTTCTGTAGTGACATAGGCCGGACGGAACGGTGTAGAAATGAGAACATGCATGGAGATCAGGAAGGTGTTTGGCAAGTTCTGCAATTAAAGATAACAAATAGTCACAAGTTTAAGTAATCATAAAATCTAAAGCATAAAATTTGTTGAACTTAGGTTGCTTAATTGCATAAAATGTTATACACTGATGATGTACTAACCATAATTAGGTCCTTCTTTATCATCAGTAACAATGTACTCATGACCCTGTGATTCGAGCCACTCGTGAATGCCGAGGGCTCATTCAACACACCCTACAAAGTTAGGATTTTGGGAAGCATACTCATTTCCTTTATAGAAAACACCCACAATTTTCTTCCTTCCACGAGAGGCCTATTCTCAAGTAGTAGAAAATAAAATAATGAACACAGTTTTTTGTTATATAAATAGTGGACATATATCAACACAATACTTATAAGATGTTATTCATATTTGCTATTCACTAATACTTATTCATGTGTGTTCTACTATCACTTATTAATTCTAAAGTTTACACTATCACTTGCTTGATGAATCTCCTCATTCTGTGCAGATGTGATGTGTGTGTTGATGGACCGCCTGAAAGGCAAAATTTGAAAGATGAGGCAAATATTTTACAACAAACTATAGCTGTCGAATATGTAAGTTGAATACTTTCGATTTTATACTGAGTAAACTTATTAATTTTGTTATACATGTGAATTTATATTAACACATTGACTGTGGATTGTGACACCATATTTTAGATATGTACCTCATTGTCCTCCATGGAGAGAGCTCAAGTCTTAAGATATGTACCTCTGATTGATTTACATGATTTGGTTGTTGTAATATTCTTTATTTCAAAAATGTATTTAATATTGTTATTTATAATTTTGTCCTTGGGAAATAAAACAAATTCTGGTCCTATCTTGTAGGGAATATTGATTACTTGAAATCACATACTAGGTGGCGTATGAAAAACTGGAAGAATATGGAGAGAAATGTAGAGGTGTACAGAGCATTTGCTTAAGTAATAACTCTTAACTAAGGATGTATCTTATAACTGCTCATAAAAAATAATGTACTTGATTCTGTGCTTTCAATTTGTGGGAGAAGGTCTAACATGGTTTTCAATTTGCAGAGCCAACATGATTAGTTGGAGGGTAAGTTTTTAGAGCAACAAGTAGAGTTGGCAAAGGTGTGTGTGTTCTTCATTGGTATTGAGCATTGAATCATGTCAACTTATTAGATAGCTTTTTATTTATTTATTTATTGAGCATGGATACAATAGAGTCACCCCAACATGCCATGGGATACGTGAGAACTTTGGGTGAGTATAATTGTTTTATTTGTGGCATATGTTTTTTTATTATTCCAACTAAATGTTTTTATTTTATTATTTCAGGCAAATGATGATGCATGTATGACTAATACACCTTTGGGTGCACGAGGATCATCTAGAGTTAACAACATTTAGGATATTTGCTATGTATTTTGTTGTTAAAGTACCGTATGAGATTACTTTTAGTTTTTTGAGATTTTTTGGAGTATTTGGGTTTATAATAAATGAATTATAACTCTGTTATGATACCTTGGTTATTTGCAATAAAAATTTATTATTACTAAGAACATTTGTATTTAATATTGTATATTTAAATAATAATTATAAACTAATGAGATTAAAGTTGGGAAATTTATGAGATTAAATTGATGTTGAAATTCTCTATAAACATATAATAGTTACATTTCTCTTCATATGTTATTTCAATTAGTAGAGGTTAAAAATATCCACAATTAACTTTCTCAAATAGTGGAGGTTTAAAGCCTACAAAAAACTCCTCAAATAGTATTGGTTAAAAACCTCCTCAAATAGCGGAGGTTAAAAACCTCCTCAAATAGCGGAGGTTAAAAACCTCCACTAATAAACCACTATAAATTTGTCAATACCAGAGGTTTTCTAAAACCTCCACTAAACGCTTTTAGCAGTTATAACTGTGGAGGTTTCTGAAACCTCTGCTAGTTATATTGTGGAGGTTAAAAACCTCAACTAAACGCAAAAAAAACTTCCACTAAATACAAAGTTTGTTGTAGTAATATGAGACATCTTTTGTTCAAAAATTATTGTAAAAGTATTTCCATAATTAAATCATTTGATGTACAATGTCTAAACATTTTTATTTTGTCATTATAATTTGTTTTATGTCTTCAATTTTGTTCAAATTTTGATATTCAAGCTTTTTTTTAAAGCTAAATTAGGGTCCCAATTTTTTTCTTCTCACAGTGGACCTATACAGTTTGAGGATCGGCATAGTGTATCTAAAACAACTTATGCTGAGATTTATGTGAGATGCTTCTTTTACGACCTATGATTAAATGCTTATTTCCCCTAACGTCTTAAATATGAACTTATTTATACAAGTTAAACACCAATGCCTACAAAATATGATTTATAAGATGTTTTCATAGAAGTTTTAATAAAAAGATAAAACACTATTTTTTGAACTAATTGTATTTTTAACAGATAAATTAGTTGATGAAATAATTAAATGAAAATAAAAAATGAAGTATATAAAGTATCATATAATAGAAAAATTGGGTTAAAAAGTTTTTTTTAAAGAATTTAATGAATTTGTAGAAAAGTAAAGATTGGACGTTAGTAAATTTAACGTGAAGAACTTTCAACCTCTAAATATCCAATTATTTTTAAGTTTAAGATAATAACTAAATATCACTCCTATCTATTTAATAATGTCTCAATAAATTGATCAACAACTTAGATAATTAATTATCAATCCCTTAAACAATTAATCATTCAGATCCTAAGAAATTTAGGTTTCAAGAGTAGTGTAATTAACCTTATTCCTATAGTTAATATTTTACATATTGTTCTAGATCCAGTTCAAATATTAACATATTTGTTACACATTCAAACTTAAAACCATAATTTGTTGATCAATCCAAAAAAGGATAAATAAAAGAGCAAACATGAAAAATAATAGATAGCAATGAATTTATATAAAAGAGTGATTGAATATATCAAGTTCAAATAGTTACATCCAATCCTATAGAGAATGAATTTAGCTCCTCATTCCCATAGAAACCAATGAATTCAACCTGAAAATGTTTCTTCACCTCTTTTCTACTATGTAAAGAAGGTTGTTCTCTTTTTACAATCTAATAAGTGTCAAAATATCATCTTTATGGCACTTTAGCACATAACTTAGTGTAATTATCGGAAATTTGCTCCTAAAATTAACATATTCTATGAATTGTCAAATTTACTCTTTAGAATGTTTGTACAAACCAAAACGGGAGGAATCGTTGCAAAAAGTCAAGTTTCAGGACAAAAGCAACTTGGGCCTAATGCAAAAGCCACGGCCAACGAATATCAGAGGATGTGAAGGCCACAATCAGTGCAATCTCTATGCTAAGCGAAAATCGCATATAGCAAAAGTTGTGTTCACTGCAAATTCTATGGTGAGTGAAACTGAGAGGAAATTTTGGTGTAGCCATTGTTCTAAATTTGCTCTGCGAATCACCTGTGGCCGACGAAATTGGGTAATTTCGCCTAGCACAACTAGCTAGATAAAAGTCCGAGGCTCGGCCAAACGAAGCACCACACATAGTGAATTTCCTGTACTGGGCGAAATCGACAAAGTTCAGACTCTTTAAAAAGGGATCAAATATGGCATTTTAGATGCACATTCGATCATAATACATTCCACTCGAAATTTCTTAACTTCCCAAGCTAGTTTAGCTCGAATTAAGGTGTATAAGCAACAATGAAATGTTAGATGAGCTACTTTATTCTCATTAAGGAGGTACCTTCTTCTCCCATGAGTTTGATTTCTCTTTTTGTATCTTTTTGTTTATTTAACATGATAATGTGTAGCTAAATCTCTTTCTTGTTTGGATTGAATCTACTATCTTCTACTATCTTAATAAGAATAGAATCGGCTGGTGAAATTACAAAAGTAGACCTCCACAATTTTGACACCTGTGTTTTACAAGGGTAAATATGTAATTATGTTAATCATTAAAAAATAATCATATAAAGAAAATTACATACAATGACTTATTCTAATATGGAGGTTTTATCTACAATGACTTTTCATTTCACTTTCATTTCTTCATTTCTCTTTCCTCTCTTCATTTCTCTCTTTCTCTTTCTTCTTTTCATTTTTTCCAACTCTCTCTGCCACCATCACAATCTTCATTTGTAAAACAAGATCTTTTGCTCATGGTAAAACTTTTTATTTTTAATTTTTATTTCAATATAACATTTTTTGTATGCTTTCAACATGATATTTTTGATGAGTTCAATATAACATTTTTAATTTACAGGAATATTTCTAACATCTCATACTTATCTCAAAGGTATGTTTTTTCATGTTCTTTACGTTAATTTTTTTAAGTAAATGAAATGATTTTTTTTCCAGTTACGAGAATGTTCTTGATTTTTATTTTTTTATGTTTTTTTCATTTTATTGATATTTAACATCTCATACTCACTTATCTTTTTTCAGAGTTACGAGAATAATGCTTTTTACTTCGTAACATTTTTTGGTATTTGTTTTATGTTTTGCTTACTCTTAGCCATTGTCTTTCATTAAATTTTATGTGTTTTTTACCAACAAATTTATCTCATTAAATCTGGTTCATTACTTTCTAATGACTGTACATCTTTCTCTAAACTCACAGTCTTCTCCCACCTATTTTGTTATTGTTTATCAGGTTTTGTAACACCCCAAATTTTAATCTTTAAAAATATAGTATCAGTCCTGGAAGCCTCGCTTAATCGAGAGATTCTCGCTTGAGCGAAAAAGGATCAGCTGGGAGGGTGAAATCCTGGACTATACTGGAGGATTCTCGCCTGGGCGAGAAATGACAATTTTGGGCTGTTGACACAGTGTAATCGATTACACTCTGCTGGTAATCGATTACATCGTGTAAAAAGCATCAGATATGTGCATTTGACACAGTGTAATCGATTACACATTGCTGGTAATCGATTACACACTACTGGTAATCGATTACATCGTATTAAAAGCATCAGATATGTGCATCTGACACAGTGTAATCGATTACATATTTATGGTAATCGATTACACATTGCTGGTAATCGATTACACACTCGTGGTAATCGATTACATCCATCAGATATGCGCATTTTTCACGTTGTAATCGATTACACCATGTTGGTAATCGATTACAACCCGACGAGACCTCTTTAAAACAGAAACCCAAACACATTTTTGGGTTAGAACTTCGAAGAGAAGAGAGAAATGAGAGCTTTTCAAGAGCAAAGAGCCTTAGGACTCATCTTGGAGCTTGAGAAGAGGTAAACCTCTTGTTACTAACTCTTTTTCTTCCTCTCTAACTTGTTTTGGGTATGTTGGATTTATTTTCAAAACATGAGAAACCATGGAAACTCATCTTTTAGAGTTATGGTTCCTTTTATGTTGTTTTTATCTTGTAAACTCTTAGTTTAGAGTTGTTATTTGATGAATGGAAAGTTTTATGGGTTATTCATGAGAAACCCCAAAAACCCCCCAAAATGAGAATACGAGTATAAAGAGAAAGAGATGAAATGTTAGATGTGGATAATGGCTTTGATGTTGTTATATGAGATGAACATGTATGCTTTGATATTTTGAAACTTGTATTGAAGTAGTTTTGGAAATATTGAAATATGAGATGTTATGCATGTTTTAGATGGCTGAATATTTTGTATGATTAAATGATGCAGAGTAAGTTGTTTATGTGATATTTGGAATAAATGACTAACATTGTTGTTATTGGTGGAAATGAGGAAAGATCCTAAGGTTGGAGGAAATCGCGGAGGAGACTTTTAAAGTTACTCGGAACCGATCCCCAACGCTCACCAAGGTAAGGGATAAGTGGCTCTAATTCATACTCACTTATGTGAATGAGGTATGTAAAAGAGGTAACGTGTTGGTAAGTTTATGGTTGTTACCCTACCCGAGGAGGTAGTGGTTTATCATTGTGTCCTACCCGAAGTGGTAGTGAACTATTTATCGTGTCCTACCCTGAGTGGTAGTGAACTGTTTATTGTGTCCTACCCGGAGTGGTAGCGGACTGTTATGGTGTCCTACCCGGAGTGGTAGTGGACTGTTATTGTTATCCTACTGGGAATGGTAGTGAAGTATTGTGTATGACTTGCCCTATGTGGTATTGTGTATGACTTGCCCTATGTGGTATTGCGTATGACTTGCCCTATGTGGTATTGTGTATGACTTGCCCTATGTGGTATTGCGTATGACTTGCCCTATGTGGTATTGCGTATGACTTGCCCTATGTGGTATTGTGTATGACTTGCCCTATGTGGTATTGTGTATGACTTGCCCTATGTGGTATTGTATATGACCTACCCGAAGTGGTAGTGGATCATTAAGGGAAATTTCCAACCCAAAGTGGTAGTGGATCATTGAGAAATTACATACCCGATGTGGTAGAACCGGAGGAGGTAAAGAGTAAGCTTGATGGCGAGAATAAGCAATGAGACAAAAAGATTTGAGATAAACGAATATGC